CACAATAAAAATATTACATGTCAAAACTTGTGAGATGAAGCAAAAGCTAGGAAGAAAGGGGTATTTATAAGTATAAATGCTTATATTAGGAAAAAATGCTACAAGGTGATAAGGTAAGTATCAAACTTAAGTTATAAAAAATAAGTTATAAAAAAAGAATAAATGCAAAGAATATAAAAGTGAAGAAGATAATAAAGATATAGACAGAGAATAATTAAATGTAAAAATCAAAATACAATAGATATGATTAACAAAACCAAAAGTTCTCTGCGAAGACCAATAAAATTGTCATATATCCTATTACACTGTGAAATTGATAAAAAAAAAAGGCACAAAGATTCAATATTAGGAATGAAGAAGGAAACAAAACTTCAGCAAAACTTCAGCAGTAGTGTGTCTCCACACTGGAGTCTTCCTTATAGGCTCAGTGAAGAGAGTGTCCTCTGGGCCTCCCCAGGGAACAGGGTCCAGCGATGGATTCTCTAATTTCATGAAATAAAATCATTCTAAGATTTCCATTTCCATATGCTCTCTGACTCCTCCCATAATACCATGCCACAGGAGTTTGGGCATCTTTACCTAATATACTATAAGACGTCATTGTACCAAAGACTTCAGAATCCATGTCAGCAGAGTATCAGATAAACTCTTGCTTTCCTTTCCAGAACATAGACTCTCAAGTCATGAATGAATGCAACATGTTAATAAATTATTCCCTGTCTAGCCTTGTATTTCCTCACCCCAGTCAAATGCCTTGAAGGCACACTGCTACACATGCCCCCCAGTTAAGGGCCAGATCATCTATTACCTTTGGTTTGTAAGTGATTTGTTGTTATAGCTAGGAGTTGAATTGTGCTGAGATCTGACCTTAGCTATTTACCTGAAAATAATAATGAGTGAGGGAAACAATTTGAGAGAAGTTAATATCTTGTGGGGAATTGACTAGAGAAGGTCTTTGTTGATTCTCTATGCGAGAGAGATTGTATTCCTCTGGCAAGAGGGAGGCACTGTTTTTGCCCACATGGAGCTTTGAGGGGAGTTCAAGTGTTCAAGATGTTCAGGTTTATACACCTCATTATTCAAGCTATAAATCGTCCAACTTTGAAATTAGATCGGGACTGATTTTTAGCATAATCTATAATAGATATAGGATTTCCTTAAGTGTTGCCATTAATGTCTGTTTGTTTTCACAGTGTCTTCAGTTGATATTTGGTTGTATGAAGTCTATTACTTTCTTCTATCAAATTCCCAGAGCAGTTAACCAGTCAACTTTACACTTATAATTACCATTCCTCTCATACTATTGAAGTGTCACAACCACTTGATTACTCAGCACCTCACCGTTCACCCTTCTCTCTTCACAACCAACTGCAGGTGAGACACTACAGACCAAGGGTTTTCACTGTCACACTTGCAAAACAAATTACCTTAATTTGGCATTCCTGGAAAGCAAAGCCAGAAACAAAATTTTAAGCATAAGTACCTTTTGAGGGGCATGATTCAGAGGGCTGGATTCACGGCCAGTGAAAGCAAAGCAGGGAAAGTGGGAGAGACAAAACAAAGAAGAATTGTCAACTGGACAGATACGAGAAATATGTTGCTCAGTGTTGGACTGAAGACCTACCTGGAATATGTTTTAGGGACATCCTTCTGAAGAAAGAAAGGAGGGTGCATTTATTCATTCTTTTCTTTCACATTGACAAAATATTTGTTTTATGAAGTATCATTCTTCTCACTTCTAGGTTGCATGTGCACAAACTCTGAGAGTCCCACGGCAAAGCTGGATGCAACATCAACAGAAAAGGCAGAAACGCCTTACAGCAGAAAGCAAGAAGCCCACTGCACAGGCCCAAGGAGAACAACAATCAGTTTATTTTATGTATAGATGTATGTATGTATTTTTTATGTTCACCCAAGGACATGAGGACATTCATTGATTTTTTTTTTTTTTAAGAGAGAGAAGGAGGAGAGACAGAGAGAGAGAGAGAAACATCGATGTGAGTAACATCCATCGGTTGCCTCCCATATATGCCCTGACCAGGGACCTGACAACAACCGGGTTACATGTCCTGACAGTAATTGAACCAGTGACATTTCAGTGTACAGGACAATGCTCCAACCACTGAGCCACATCAGCCAGGGCAACAACTGTCAATTTAGAGGTTACTTTAGAATCTTCACAGAATCAGTTGCTGCTGCTGTGGTTAGGAGATAAGACAGAAGAGACCAAGGAAGGATCTGAAGAGGCGACTGATAATCTCTATGGCTCAGAAATTGCACTCTTAGGAATATAGTCAACAGAAATGCTTACATAGGGGAGTTATCTTCTGGAGGGCAGGCCCTTTGTACAGGCTTCCCAGTCTAGGCGCCCATCTGTATCAGTGTACCAGATGGCATTGTTGTGAAAAGCTGCATTCAGCTTCAAATTTTTTTTGAAGACTCTTTCAGCATGTCTGCCCATTTCATGATGGGTGATTTGCAAGTGCACCTGCCCACACCATGCTGAGGGTTCAGTGGTATTGACAGAAAATGGCATGACCCCTGTGCCCCACACTCCGTATTCGCCTGCCCTCACTCCCAGCAACTTTATTTTTGTTTCCCTGGATGAAAAATTGTTCAAAGGGAAACATTTTGCTGATATGGAAGAGGTGCAACAGAAAATGGCAGAAGCACTAAAAGGCATCAAAACTGACAAGTTCAAAAACTCTTTTGAGCAGTGGAAAAAAAGTCTCGGTAGGTGTGTTGCATCGAATGGAGAGTAATTTGAAACTGGCTGAAGTTTAAACATGTAAGAATAAATACCCAATTTATAAATAAATTCTGGGTTTTTGGGGTCCCTCCTTGCATATGCAGCATTATTTATTAAAACCTCTAAATTGGAGTAACCCAAAGCCCATCACCAGTGGACGAAATGCATAAACATGATGTAGAGCACAATAAGGCATATCAAAGAGATTATATACTTGATTCAATTTAGTTCAAGAATAGACATATTTAATCTAAGATGTTACAAGTCAAATAGTGTTATGTTTTGTAAATAGAACATGTCTAGTGGATGCTCCTGGTGCTGTTCTCCAGATCCTCTTTAGCACCATCATAGCCATCCTTCTGACCACTGTGGGGGTTGGTGTGGCTTACAACTTCCAGTGTTTCCTGTGCCTTTGTCAGGGAGGAGCTAAGCCCCTCCCCTTGAAACCAGACCTCATCCAATGGACTAATGGACACAGGGGTACAAAAGGCTCATTCTTTTGCCTCAAGGTTGGATTGATTCAATTTTTGCTTCAGAGCTCCCTGCTCATAAGGTCAGAGCAATCTATGTGTGAGACCACATTCTTTACCATTCTTTAGCATTTCCCTGCTCTTAAATGTTTTCCCCACCCCTCTTCTCCTGTGGGCCCTCCTCTCCAATGACCACAATGGAGAATTCCCGCGACCACAGTGGAAAACTAAGCTAACACAGAGTTGAGCATTGACATGAGGGACTTGAAGGGGTCCTGCTGGGGTGCCAGTAATGTTCTCTTTTTTGAGCCGGAGAAGGGTTACATGGGTTGTTAACGCTGCAGCAACTCATCGATATAAACATCTATATGTCATGTTTTTTTTTCTGCATTCATATTATACTTCAATATAAAAATGTTTGTTAGAGAGAGACTGGCCAAAGGAGAAGTTACCATGCTCTTCACATTCTTAAGTTGAAAACTGCCTTCCTCAGAGTCACCTCAAAATATTCTCAAGACTCTCTATGTACTTGGAAAGTCTGCACACACTCTGAGCACCTTCTGAGCAGCTCAACATTCATGGGGCTGGAAGCTGCTTGCAAGACTCTTGCATATATTAACATCTTCCCAAATCAGGCATGATAGACTAGACAGTGCCTGTCTAGAAAAGCTAGAGTATTCAGCTTCAACAGAATCTAAAATCTTTGTGACTTAGGAAAAGATGATTTCTTAAGCAAAATCTATTGAAGTTTGGGGTAACTGTTTGGAGTAGTGGCCCAATACTTCTTCCATCTTGTGGAAACTCTCTTAAGACCTGTTTCTAAAATCAGCACAGCAGAGGGGGAGCCCACCAGAGAGATTTGTACCAGCAATCAAATGTTCCCATCTGGAAGTGGTATTGGTCACTTTTGGGCACAATCTGCAGGCCAGAGCTAGTCAGAAATCTGCCTCCCCCCACAACTACAGGCAGTTATACTGTGGGGAGATATAATCCTCCTATGTGCCCAGAAGAGGGCAGAAGAGTGTACCTTTAGAAAACTCTATCATGCTATCACTGCTTTACCTAAAACCAATTTGGAATCCTTACATAAGACATGGGAAATAGACTTTTTCTCCCTTCTCTATGATGTAAATTCTATGAGAATCAAAAATAGTTGAATTTTTTGTATTTCCTATTTTCTGACATGAATATTTTGCATAGTTCTCTACTTCCCATTTCAAATTTAAAACTTAGGCTCTGTAAAATGGCCTTACAATCAGAAAATAACAGTATTATAACTTAGGTATAATAGAAAGTTTATAAAACAGTAAAGACAAGGATGGCTTTATTCCAAACATAAAACATTTTATTTTCTGTAACAAAAGTTGTCATTGCATATTAGGATAATAGCTAGTGTCTGCGCATATGTTCTTGAACCGCTTTTTCTCTGGTGAAGACTCATATCTGTTTCTTTCTTTCTTGAAAGGAGATGTTATCACTGGGGTTGCTCGGCAGGTTTAATGTCAGAGTGTTATACTTTGAAAAAGAGCTTCTCTTTTTGCAAAATTGGCTGATGTGTAAAAATAAGCCATGAACTTGACCTTCCTTAGCACTCATTTGTGGAACTAAACTATAACAGTATATAAAACATTGCATTCTAAATCATAAAAAGCATATGCAGAATGAGGTATGAAGAAAATGATACTTAGTAGCCCTGTATTTTTTAAAAATATGGCTCTTCAGGAAAATACCTTCCTTGGGCTCTCAAAATATATTTTTCTGTTCAACATTGAAACAGTTGGTCAATTTTGTCTACAGTTGAACCAGCTATTAGCTTTCTGGAGAGTCAAAATTCTCTTTGTTTTAGGATCAAACTTGTATTGCCTTGTTCCATGGAAGAAATAAAGAAATCCTGGAAACAAAACAAAAGAGACTTACTACATTATGCAAATAATTTCTAGGTTTAACTTAAATTCTTGAAAAACTTAAGTCATATGTGAGAACATATGTTCTTGTTGGTGTTTGTTATTCTAAATAATAATACTGATGCTATTCCGTGGCAACAAAGTATAGGAAATAGATATGCACTCATTTACCATTTTTCTGGAAAACAGCATCAACTTTTTTGCCAATTCCAGGAAAGTCAGCGGCTATCATTTTGGGATAACCTGCATCCATGGATCGTTTGTATTCATCATACCTGGTCAAAAAGTAATTAAAAGTGTCAGAAACATTTGTTAAACATGTATCCTTCTCAAAATCATTACAGAAAATTCACCAACAGGAATGTAATAAGAACTTTTAATTCCACAGATCATGAGTAGAATGAAGGCGGGCAGGTGGGATGAGGTGAGGTAGGACGCTGGGTAGACGAGATTTATAAGATCCCTCTGAACACCATCATCCAATTTTAATTTTCCAGTTGCCACACAATGTCCTATTAAGGTACAATGTAACTAAAGATAAATTTCTATTGGCTGAAGTAGCTCCATCAGGATGAAAGCCCTCCTTTTTGCGTCTTCTTTTTCAAATTCAGCCCCAAGTGCTCCCAGGATTCCTGGGACAGGTATTGCATAATGATTATTAATCAAGAGACTTGGATGCTGGACTAGCCACAGCCATTCATAGAGAAAGCAGCTAGCCAAAGCAATATGAGAATTATTTTTAAATGGTTCCATCTATTGCACTCAGTCTTTACCTCCAGTACTTGTCAGCAACAAAGAAGAATGTTTTCCCAGTAGTTTCCTCAAAAACAGCAGCATCAATATTCTTCACACTTCTAGGGAAGCCAAAGGATCTGTAAATGTCCTTGGGGTAGCCGGCCAGCACTTCCTGCCCCTGAACAGCCCAGTAATTATGATCTGCCAATCAAGAGACCATGATGAAAACACTCACCCGGTGCACCAGTAGGCAATGAGCAGATTTCTGGCTAAGTTAGTCTCATGTGCTAGAACAGTGTCCTGGCTGCACAGTGAATTAACTAGGGAGACTGTTAAAAGTACTGATGTTCATATCCCACCAGAGACAAATTAAATCAGTATATTTTAAAGAGTTTTCTAGATGATTCAAACATGCAGCAGTGATGAGAATCACTGATTCATGGAGTTAGAGACTTTATCCAAAGCAGGATACTCAAATGACTAAAGAGTTCATGCTACCACCTTGGGGATAGTCAATTCATGGTAATTCAGGACTTCTCATATTTTTTAATGTATGTACAGATTGCCTGGGAATCTTGTTAACATTCAAGAAGGTCTGGAGGGGGACCCGACAACATAAATGGACCTTCAGGGCAACATGCTAAATGAAATACTGTATTTCTAACAAACTCTCCAGGTGAAGTCAATGTTGTTGGTTTGAGTATCACCCTTTGTTAGCAAGGCTGCAGCATCCCTATCTTGCTGCTCATAGAGAGGTCGCCCCAGCTCTCTGAGGAGAATCATTTGCATTAACATAGCTCTAGGACATCACACAACTCAAATGTTTCTATTGTACCCTCCCTACAGTGTTGGTCCAATTCTCTCAGCTCTACTTCTCAGCACCACCTGGGATGTAGAAGGGGTTTAAAATACATAAATAGTTTTCACAGAAAACACTTTCATTAAGTCTAGATTCATAAAACAGGCCAGAAAACTTATATTTCCAGTCATATGTTTTTTATTTAAAATGACTGAGAAATGCACTGTGCAATTCTTGTTTAAGGGGATGGACTTCCATTGATTTAGTAAGACTTAGATTTTTAAGTTCCATGGAGAGAAAACAACTAGTACTCTTTTATATTGCAGCCAATGAAAAGTTAATTAATAAAATAATGGGCAGCATTACCTTTGAAAAACCGGACTTCATCTCTATCAGCAACCTCATAAGCAGCTTGAAGTCCGCTTGGCAGATTTGGCCAGAAAACAGAAATGAAATTGAGCTCAGGTTCTGGGTAGTAAGAACTAGTGCGCATGTAGAACCTGGTTTGAAAAAGAAAAGAAAAAAAGGTTTCAATCTAATCTACAGCAAGTTCTGGCTGACATCCAGCTGCTTCTTACTGCTGGCACTAGTGGTGTGCTGGTAAATGTTTAATGTCTGGCCCTCCAAGGTGAGGGTTGGGAGGAGTCCCAGTTTGCAGTATTTGTTCATTTTCAGGGTGGAAACACTCCCACCCTGGCAGATTTCAAGAGATTTGCCATGGCATCCCATTGTGTAGCATTTCTACCACACAAACATAGTAGGTATAAACAACCACAAGAACATAAATAAGGAGTAAAATGTAGCAAAATAATTACAAAAGAGTTTTAATCATTTTTATTACCTCTGGCTTAAATATAATTGTGAGTTGATGTAATTTAACTTTTACTAATGGTTGGGTTTAACAACCATCTTGCAAAATTCTCAAGATGTGAAACTCGGCCGGCAACGGCTGGCTGGAGTACAGCCCTAGTACCCTGCAGAAGTGCTCACGTCCCACGCCCAGGCCCTTCCCTGCCATCAAGCCTTACCTCACAAAACCCCGCAAGAGAACATTACCCTCATTTCACAGATGAGAAGTTAAGATCGGGGAGGCAAAGGGAGCTAAGGCCATGCAGCCAATAAGAGATAAAGGTTAATTTTAAATTCAGGGTCTGGCACCCCTTCCCTTTGTCTTGCTGTGGTTGGTGGTTTACATGGTTGAGTGATTCTACAGTCCACAGAGACTGGGAAAATAGCAAAGTATAGACTGTCACGTGAGCTGACAGAAGTGTTTCCAGATCCTAGGCCACAGGAAGCTATCTATGACCAGGCAGCAAGGAATCCAACTTCTAGATCCAGTCCTGTGCCTGACTGACAGAGAGGCCTTGGGCAAGTCAAATACTAGCAGTTTTTAGCCTTCCATGTCTTCATGACTCAGCGACATTTAAATGATCTCAATGTCCATTTAGTTCTTGCAAATTCTAGACTTGATACTTGGAATAATCCTTCAAATACTTGCTTGAATAGGTGCCCTGCTATACTGAAAGCTTTGCTTCAACATCATGTATTTCCTTAGCACTCCCATCCAAGGTGGTTTACACCCTGCCTTCTCTTTTACACTCAAAAATAGTTAAGAAAAAGATGAGATGCATTAGCAGCCAATACACTGCATTCTGCGGTATGATCACGGTGTATTAAAACAGCATCAACGACACTCCAAAACAGTGGCTGAGGAGAATCGAGACTTCCTCAGTACCCCTGCTTTCTCTGTGCTGCAGACTAAATCATTCAGGAAAAAAACCATGTTATTATTTTGTCTGGTCCTTTAGGGATCAGTACAGTGCCTAGAGTGGCTTTATTCCTCGCATAGGAGGGGACCCTAGCCTTTTGAGGGCACATGCTGCAGAGGGAAGCACACCGTGAGTGCTCACACCCACCCAAGAGAGGGGCCTCGTGAACTTAAGGGAATTCTCCCACAATGGCTCCTACCCTTCTCTGGCTTCTCTGGGCCTCTGGGGGCAACAGAGACCTGTCACCACCTCAGGCCTTGGGAGAATCATCTTTTCCAGAACCGAAGGGGTGATACTTAAAGGATATGATGGTGTTATGAAAAAGACTGATTTCTCTTAGTGAAGTACTAACATGCTATCATCGTAAAGAATGCCACCAATGAAATGAGCCCCGGAGTGGGAGTCAGAAGACCAACTCCTGCTCTCTCACCAGTGAATGCTGTGCCCTAAAAAGATCTCTATCCTTCTCTCTGCCTTACCTTACTGATTTGTAAAATAGGATCATATTTTTGGCTTTCTGCTTCAATGGTATTTTTTTCCCTGAGAATCGAGTTCGTTAGGTTTTGCCAATGCAAACAAGTGCTATCATATAATTATGTAAACAAATGTAAGATAAGAAACATGTGAATCATAGTAGTGGCCCATATGGATCCATAGTAGTGAGTGTAAGTATTATTACAAACAGAAAGCAAGAAGAATTGATGTCTTACCTGTCTTTGAAGAACATCACTTCTCCCCGAATTGTAGTTACAGCATCAAAGGTTAGCTTACTATCACACACTTGCGGGGTTTGTGGGCCCACTGGCTCGGTGGGGTTTTTGGAGGGTCCTAAAGAAAAAAGAGACCTGGAGTTAGTGTGCCTGGCATGGGAAAATTACATAAACAATGAAAGACAGTTTCTTAAAAAATACAGCAAATGGCTGCTCTGAAGGCCCCTTGTCTGCGATGTTTTTCTTTATACTCACCATATATTGCCTGGATACCATTAATGTCATCCTGAGAGAGCTGAACATCACCACTGAAGATGTAGCTGGGGAACATCAAAGCCCCAATATCCTTCGAATGAGAGAGTCCAAGGGAATGGCCCAATTCATGAGCAGCCACACGATACAAATTGTAATCTAAAAGGGCCGATAAACCCATTTGCAATTACTTGAAATGTTTTTAGTTTTAAGGCACTTAATTAAGAAGTAATCTTCAATTTTACAAGAATTAATGCTCATCTTTTCTTCACAGCTTTTTAAAATACATACACAACTTTTTTCCTAAGGCGAGGGGACTTCCTTCATTAATAGTGAAGAGCTCAGTTAAAGCCTACACTCTGTGATTACACTGATACAATAAAAAGGCAAACTCAGTCCCCTGAGGGTCTAGCACAGATTCGTCAGTCTTGCCAATGATTAGATGATATGTTTTATTTCACAGAGAAACAATAGATTTCTATTAACATATTTTTTTTTTCTATTTACAGAACTTATACATGCTCAATGCTGGTTTTGTAAAGCACATATACCCTCTCCTCCCTTAATTTCCACATAATCTTACAACCACTATTAAATTTTGATGTGTCCTCTAGTAAAAAAAAAAAAAAAAAAAAATTCCATGGAGATGCCCACAAGCATACCATTAAGATTTTCAACAGTTTCTTAATAAAGATTTTAGTGTGGCCTATTTGTAGACAATAATATGTTGCTACTAAAAGAAATATCTTTTTCTTACACTTTTCTAAATGTATTGTGAATTTTCAAAACAGTAGTAGAAAATATATACTGCTATAAATGCATTCTTTCAGTTAAATTACTAATTATTGCAATGAATCAAAAGGGATGGGGGAATTGAAAAAGGCAAGATTAGCTGACTGACTTCTGAAATTGTTGGTCCACGTTTCATCTTCATCAAAATGAACATCCCCTCCTAAACGTGGGCCTGGCGGAAAAGCATGAGCGAGGTTTCCGTTTGGTCCATCAAAGGGAGAATTGTCTCTGTGATCTGCAGGAAACAGAATTTAACATATGTCCCTCTTGGTTCTTATTTATGGTAACACAGGGGAGCAAGTCCTTGCTTTACCAAGAGTCCAACAGACTTCCATCAAATATGATACACTATCCATCCTTAAGCCCATAAAATCAATATTCCTCTTAAACAAGGAAAAGCTGGAGAGATTTAGGAGCCAGGTGAAGTTAAAGTGAACATACTTTCATGTTACAAAAAGAGCTTACCTCCCCAGACAAAGGACAACATTATGTCTGCTTGACCCTCAAAGACCTTGGTGAAAGTCAGGGGTGAGACCCTACTCCAAAGTTGAAAGGCTTTCTCAATGGCATGGTCCACATCTGCCCTCGGCAAATCTGGTGTGTAATTTTCAATCCTGTAAATGAATTAAAATAGACATGTATAAGACCTCATTTATTATGGCTCTCATAGGAAGTAGCATTCTCAGTCTGGTGCTCAGTCTGGTTACCTGTAGGTCAGGTGTGTGTGCTCCCACCGAGGGTTCCCTTCAGTGAGGGCAAACTGCGCCACATCTGGCACCCCACATCTGGCCTGCTTCATCACATTCCGGGTCTCAGCATCTGGCTTCCCAGTCACTTTCAGCCCAAAGAATTTCTGCATTTCTTTCAGTTTTTCAACCACTAGGTCACTCTTACTCTGTCTTTCGATTTGTTCCCCATTATTCTTCAGGTTGTAGTAGTTCTCCAGGTATTTCTGGTGAAAGGTAATATTATTGTAACATTGAGAGGAAAATCTTTCTCATTTTTCTAAAGATTGACAGTATGAAGTTTTAATGAAACAGAGAACTAGTTTTAGAGATTGTGTTTAGATTTCATGGTTCTTATAACCTTTATCACTGGTGGAAACTAATTTCAGAGAGAAATGTCCCTACCATTGGCTACTATCAAGTCAGAATTACAATTTGTCGAGCCAAATAGCCATATTGTTCCTTTATTTCCCTTTCATCTTCAACTAGAAAAGATGTATGGCTAGATACATTTTTGAAGAGAGTGACCTAACGAAAGTATCTGTTTGTAGAAAATCCACCCTTAAATAAATTTCGTTATACCAACTACTACTACTCTGCTATACTATGGAAAAAATGTAAATGAAGTCTTTTCCATTTCTGGCATTGAAATCCGGCATTTACCTGGACCATCTCCACATCATCTTCTTGTATTTTTGAAGTCATTGCTGGGAAGCCATGAGACCCCACACTCCAGAGCAGCAGCAGCAGCAGAGGAAGGCTGTGCATGCTGGCCTCTGTCTTCCTTCTCAGTTAAAGAAATCTGATGCCTGTTGCTCCAATATCTCAACTAAGAAACTCCCTCTTCATATATAGAGTCCTTGCACTTCCAGAAAGCCGGAAGTAGTCTGACTCACGGTTCATAACATCCTCTTGATTAGCAATGAATAGCCTGAGCAATCATCAGAAATGATGACTCCAAGGAGATTATTTAGGTTTGCTTGGTGTTGCAATCTCATGATTAATATCAGACAGGACATGTGAGAGAGAATCACACTCCACCATGTAAACAGTTGTTTTCTCCAGTTTGTTTCCTTTCTATCTGAAAGCGGCCTTTTTATATAGGACACTGATCACAGAGTATTCCATGATCATTTTTAAAAATAGTCTTTGCTGCTTGATTATGCTTGTTGTAAAGTGATCTGGATTGTACATACATACACCTTGCTTCCGGGGCAGAGGGTAGGACTGCTGACACCATATGCTCCATGGTTGTTCAGCACCTGTAGTGTCTGAAATTTATTTATCTCCACTGGCATTCACTTTGTAGTGGTTTTCCAGAGTTCAGTGGGGTTCCCTGCTAAGCTACTTTGTACACTATTTGCATAGCACCATGGTTTCCATTAACCTTTATTCAGGCCCAGGATTTGAGAACCTTAGTTGAGAAGACTCTAGTTCACAGGTGGGGTATGAAGTGACCTTCTGACCTGTGTAAACCCTGCCCATTGGCATCATGGGAAAAATAGGTTCCTTCTCTGAAACCTGTTAGAATGTACCAGGTGCTGCAAATGTGAGTCTGGGGTTTTATTTTTAATCATCCATGTTTCCCTCAATGGGAGCATATCTTTGCTCCTTGGGGCTAGGCACAATTATTTATTCTTTTATGTATGTATCCATTCATGTAATTATATATTCATTCATTCAGATGACCTTATTTAAAATCCTCTGTGCACCAATTACTTGACAGTGGCTAATTAATAAACAGACATCTTATGGGACACTCTAAAGTGGTTCTAATGGAAGCCTGCATAAAGTTGCACAGGTTACCTTTACTAAAAAGGGCTGGGAAGAGACTCTGGAGCTTGCCCAGCCCTAAGTTTCCTGACCTTCAAAAATCCTCCTACTTCCATCATAATTTTTAATCTTTATTAAAAATCTACTAGTGCCACCTCTAGTATTATTTTTGTATTTTTCTTAAATTTACTTTAAAAGTTTTGCCTCTTTATAGGCTATCATATCTGCAAAATCATAGCTGAATAAACTATTATTTTTGTATGCACATTAAAATAAACACACAGTTATGTTACAAAAAATGTACATTCATGTTTTCGTGTTCCACATCCAATTGTCTTGAGCACTGCCAATGGCATCCACTCCAGTTTTGGAGTGAAAAAAGTGTAGCTTCCTGTATTCATGTCCTGCCCTCCTTCTTTTAAGTGTTTAAATGAGACAAAGTAGAGAAACACTTGCCTACTTTCTTCCACTGGTACCTCATGGTGTCTTCCACCTTACCTACTGGGTCAGATTTGCTCTCTCAAGACTTACCGATTTGTTTTCTTCCTCACACTACGAACAGCATCATATGCACATATGTTCCTTCAGTATGTGTTGGGCTGATATAATAGAGCTCATTTCTTGCCTGATCATTTAACCACAATGTCCTCATCTAAATGGAGTGATGTGAGTGTTCAAAGGGGTACTAGTAATTGGAAGGAGCTTTCACAAAAACGAAATCTTCCCCTTCTCAAGGACATCAGCTAGAAGGTGGAGCAATGACCAAAGGAAAGTAGTAATTGAAATGACCAAGCGCAGGCAAGGAAAAGTAGTGAAAGAAGCTCATTATGCTAGAGGTTGAACACAGACTGTTTTCAAGGTCAAGGGGTGGCTGACACACCCTGGCTATTAGGAGCTCTGGTCAGGGTGACGAGGTTGCCCCCAACTCTGAGGCCTGGTAAACAAGAATTAACTCAGGAGAACAGCACTGTGACCATCTGAACTAGGCAATCAATTACATAAGGTATTATTCTGGAAGAATCCCATACGAGGTTCAATCTGGCAAGTCTATATATTCTACAGTTTAGAAGTTTTAAAACTTTTAAAAACTACTCTATCCTTTTTTAAAAACTCCCGTTTGGAAAACCAGTTTGTAAACCAGATAAAAGAAGTGCTCTGATGGGAGTGGGAACGGGGCCTGGGTGTCCCACCCACTCACTCCCACTGTGTCCCAGGCCCCCCTTTCTCTAGCAAAGCTTCCAATTTTTATGGAACGATGAGGGTTTAGTGGATTGAAGCTTAAAAATCACGAATCTAGTCCGGCACCTTGATTTTTCAGATAAAGAAACAAAGAACAGAGAAGTTGCCTGCAGATCAGAGGTCACCACCTCTGCGCACTGGCCTGAGTCCCAGAGCTCTTGAGCTAAAAACTCTGTGTTTCCTCACAACTTCAAGGATGCTGATGTAGACTGGAAACTGGTTACTTAAAACAGCTTTTTGTTAAATTTCTTCCTAAAATAACAAAGAATTTTAAATTAAGTTTTGGCTAAGCAGCAAGCTTCAAAATTTCACATTGTCCTGAATCTTGAAATTTCCAGTTAGGTATTTGTAGCAGAACATATGTAACTTCTGGGCTAGTGCCAGTGTGTGATCTACTTGAGAGTGAAAGAAAAAAACATAAAAATCTAGAACAAAAAAGCTAGGAATTAAACATTACCCAAATCCTAGCATGCCTGGATTTGGCATAGTTTCCAAGAAACTCAAAATATGTTGAAACTTTGTTGCTCTTCACATCCAGATGTTTTTTCTCTGGGAGTTTCTCCTTTCTCCATAATTTCCTTTTGGATGTAACTTGGGGAAAATTATTCCTGTGCCCTTTATTCCCAGGGAGAATGAGAGGTTTAAGAGGTTCTTATGACTGTGCCCATGCCAACTAATTCCTGACGGTTTCCAAACGGGCAAATTGTTTTCTTTCCATGGTTTTCTTGGTTGCTTCATACTGACAATTCTGTGAAAAGACTCAAATATGCTTGTATTCTTCCCTGTTAAGTTCAGTCTTCGAATTTCAATTTTGCTTAATTTTTTTTATGCTCAGAAATTCAAAACTTTCAATTTTGGAATTGAATTTGAGTGTCAGATATATTTTCTACTTCTTTGATCCTACAAGTTTTGAAATGGTATTTAGCCAGAAAGTATTAATATTTAATGCTCTTTTGTTTTGGGGGTAACACAAGGGAACGATGTGTTCCACCCTATGTACTCTCCCTACCTACGGCCATGTGGTAGCCTTATGGTAACCACTGTGTTCCAGACACTCAACAGACACTTTGTTCCTGTTGGTTACCTCAGTCCTCATGGTTGCCCTCCAGGTAAAAATGACTGATGCATCAACCCCAAGTCACTTACTGACAGGCGTCTGTGGGGCTCCAGTCCACCTCCTAGCAGTCTTCATGGTGCTCCTGTTACTAGATATGAGAATCGTACTCTGGGTACAGAAATTTAATCCCCTCTCAACAGGACAGAAAACTTTGTGAGACACTAGGCTGGATACATTAATTCTATCATGCCTGCAGTTCCTCCATGCCACCACTCTGTTCCTTACTCCTGAAAGAATCTTGAAACTATCAGTAAATGGCCTTTATTTCCTTTAATAAAATTCATGAAATTGCAGTTTGTAGTTATTACCTCAATTTAGTAGGTGTTTACAAATGACTGTTGAGTGAACTAATGAATGAATAAATCAACGAACAGATAGATACTAAATGATATCAATAAACAGGCCATTTCTCATTAAGCTCAATTGCCTGCAAAAAGTCTATGCCCACATGGTTTGATTTTTATTTCATTTTCTATTCTCCTAACATTAAAATCATTTAAAATATATTAGAAAAACATTTGTATATGTCCTCTGAGTACAGATTTTGAATGAAGCACTAAACATTTACTTTTGGTTATTTGCCTGCCATGCCATAGCCATTTAGTCTTTGATTATTTTGAGCATTTTATTGATTCTTTGCCAGTAATATTTCCCCACCTGAATATTTATTAGACTATCTGGAAAATGCTTATAGGGAGCACATCCTTGAGGTCAGTTTAGAGACTTTTGCAGCTGTAGCTCTCTTCTAAGAAATTCAAACCAACGGCCCTGGTGGGGATAAGGGCTGCATGTTCCATGGCTCCGCTCAGACATGGTGGAACCATTCTTTCTCAGCCCACAGGACTGTGCATATGGTTGTGAGATACATGAGGACACTAAAGTCATTCCTATGAGATTCTGATAATGCAGCAATGCCCAGAACTATGACTTGCTTTTTTGGGAGTCTCTGATGTATGTACTTTTGCTGCCTTCAGAACTTTTGCCTGTCATTTAGGCCTCAAATTATGTTCTATTGCTGCAGAATTTTTCTGTGTTTTGGACAAATTGGAAGGTCCAGTAACCCACTAGCTTTTTGCCTAATTAAAAAAATAAATCTCTCTCTCTCGAGTCAACCCCGCACATGCAGTTTGTTGTGTGTGAGCTGTGTGTATGTAGTCCCTGCTCTCTAGTACTTGCATCTCTTCACCTTCAAGATGCCTGAGGAAGTACACCATGGAGAGGAGAAGGTGGAGACTTTTGCTTTCCAGGCAGAAATTGCCCAACTCATGTCTCTCATCATCAATACCTTCTACTCTAACAAGGAAATTTTCCTTCGGGAGTTGATCAGTAATGCTTCTGATGCCTTGGACAAGATACGCTATGAGAGCCTGACTGACCCTTCCAAGTTGGACAGTGGTAAAGAGCTGAAAATTGACATCATCCCCAACCCTCAGGAACGCACTTTGACTCTGGTAGACGCAGGGATTGGCATGACCAAAGCTGATCTTGTAAATAATCTGGGAACCATTGCCAAGTCTGGTACAAAAGCATTTATGGAAGCTCTTCAGGTTGGTGCAGACATCTCCATGATTGGACAGTTTGGTTTTAGCTTTTATTCTGCCTACCTGGTGGCAGAGAAAGTAGTTGTGATCACATAGCA